AAGCTTGGGTATATAGGTATTGTGGGTGAATACCTTAGTGAATGCTTATATTATCTAGATTTTTCCACTTATGCTTATATTACACTAATATGGCAGAGTACGTTGGTGGTTACTCTAGCTTGGTTTATAGGACATTAAATTTATTCACGTTAATTGTAGCGGAGTAAGTGGTGGTTACTCTAGCTTGGTGTGTAGGTATTGTTGGTGAATACCTCAGTGAATGCTTATATTACCTAGTTTTTTCCCACTTATTACATTAATACAGCAGAGTACGTTGGTGGTTACTCTAGCTTGACATATATGTATTATTGATGAATACTTATCGCATGGCTGTCTTATTATACTAATATGGCAGATTACGTTGGTGGTTACTCTAGCTTGGTTTATAGAACATTAAATTTATTCACGTTAATTGTAGCGGAGTACAGTGGTGGTTACTCTAGCTTGGTGGGTAGGTATTGTTGGTGAATACCTCAGTGAATGCTTAAATTATCTAGTTTTTCCCACTTTTTACAGTAATACAGCAGAGTACGTTGGTGGTTACTCTAGCTTGGTATATATGTATTATTGGTGAATATTTATCGCATGGCTGTCTTACTACAATAATATGGCAGAGTACGTTGGTGGTTACTCTAGCTTGGTTTATAGGACATTAAATTTATTCAAGTTAATTGTAGCGGAGTACAGTGGTGGTTACTCTAGCTTGGTGTGTAGGTATTGTTGGCGAATACCTCAGTGAATGCTTATATTACCTAGTTTTTCCCACTTATTACATTAATACAGCAGAGTACGTTGGTGGTTACTCTAGCTTGGTATATATGTATTATTGGTGAATACTTATCGCATGGCTGTCTTGCTTTTATTTTCAAAGTTGGTAGTCCCATAAGGGCACGTTGGTGGTTGTCCTTATGGAGTGACGTTTTGCTAAGCTAGCTGTATAAGATTTATAAACTCCTTAAGCATGAGTTAGCCCCAATATGTGTTTACATATCATGATATTTTCTTATAGGTGAAAGCGCTAGTACACTTATTGAAAAAGGTATTGGAAAGAGCCTACCTAAACCTTTCTAGGAAGGTTTATTAGCGGTTTTAGGAGATAAGGTAGACGGGAAAAATACCACGACACCACCGATTGAACCGGAAATTGCAGAAAGATACATACACATCGCAAAAACCGGCCTTGAAGAACCCGTTCTTAACCTATTAATGGAAAAGTACCCCTCTCCAGAGAATGCCACCTCTTTAGGACCACCACAGTTAAATTTAATGGGGAAACAGGCCATACATGATAATGTGGAGTGCAGAGATGAAATTGGCTAAAATTCAATCAAGATTAGCAGCCAGTTTGTCGGCTATAGGCCAAGTAATGGCAAAAATTTTAGAGGAAAAGGGAAAGGGGGGAGAAAGGAATATAAAGCATTATATAGAGACCCTAAACGACACAGAACGTTTTATAACTGGTGTTATCCATTCCAAGTCAATATCGAGGAGGGAACTAGTGTCTTTCGATTTAAATAAAAATTGGAAAACCACTCTAACGGAATCCCCTTTGGATACCTGGTTATTTGGTGAGGATTTGGAAGGAAGATTAAAGGCGGGCAAAGAGTTGTCCGCCTTTAACTGTCATCCAGTCAGTTAAAGACTGTCAGAAGTACTCCAGGAAGAATCGTATCAAATGCAGCCAGATCTCGGTCCACGCCGCATTTAAACTTCAAAAGTCTGCCTCAACATCAGCAGGGAGGGAAACGGGACAGACTCATGTTCGAGAAACTTCCTACAACCGCCCACGTCAAAGGCGGACCTGGAACCGAATACAACACTTCGGCGTAAGGTCGCGTTCTCAGGGAAGATGTATAGGGATAATAGATGTATTATGGCATGGTTGCAAGGTTTTAAAATTCCGTTTGTGACGAGACCATCACATAACATAATCTCAGGTAGACATAAATGGTCGGTGCAACAACATAAGACAATTGAGGGCAACGTTCGGAGATTGCTTAGTATAGGGGCTATTTCTAAGGCACAGCCATGTAAAAATCAGTTTATTACAGAGATATTCACGTTTCAGTTGTTTATTTAGATGATTTTTAATTACTAGGAGATTCTTATGATGCATGTTTAGCAAATGTATTAGAAACAATTGGACTACTCGAATATGGGGTTTATTGTAAACTATAAAAAGAGTATTATCTCCACAAAAAATTGTGACGTTTTTGGGGTTTAAATTAAACTCTATGGATATGACTATTTCTGTTCAAGAGGAAAAAATCACAAAAATAATTTTGCATTTAAAAAAGTTTTTAAGATGGAAGAAATGCACTACAAGGGAGTTTGTAAGGCTAACAGGGAAGTTGATATCCATATGTCCAGCCATAAGTACGGTTATTTATATACCAAATTGTTTCGAGAGAGAAAAAAATTTAGCGTTAAAGAGTAATAAAGGAAATTATAACGGAACTATGAAAATTTCTAAGAAGTTATGTGTTGATACCGATTGGTGGATTCGAAACATACCTATTAGCAAAAACTTATTATCATATAGTAAATACTCTATGGAAATATTCTCTGACGCATCAGATATTGGATGGGGTGTTTGTTGCAATAACATAAGTTCTCAAGGTCTCTGGCCTACCTACGAATGAGAAGAACACATAAATTTTAGGGAGTTACAAGCTGTTTATTTTGGCTTGAAAGGCTTTGCTAATGACTTATCTAACGTTTCTAGCTTGTGCAAGGTAGACAGTGTTGTCTACCCTATATGCCAGTGCAGTAGTGTTACTGCACTGGCATATACCTATATTACATAGAACATAATGTGTTCAATTTCCAAGTTAAACAATATCCCTCGAATAATTTGGCAATGGTGTGAGGAAAGGAGATTATTTATCGTAGCCTCTTATATTAGATCTCAAGAGAATAAGGAAGCTGACAGGGCTTCCAGGGAATTTAAGGTCGAGACAGAATGGAGTTTAGCGAGCTGGGCATTTGGGAAATTGGTCACTATAAGTGGGGTTTACCGGAAATAGATTTGTTTGCTACGCATATAAATGCTAAATGCAAGAAATACATATCGTGGCACAGGGACCCAGATATGTACGCCATTGATGCCTTTACAACAAACTGGGAAACATTTTATTTTTTGCTTTCCCTCCATTTTCAATGGTCCCAAAGGCTCTGCAAAAAGAAAAAAAATTATTTCTGATCAGGCAGAAGGTATAATGGTTGTACCCAACTGGGTTTCGCAACCTTGGTATTCGGTTTTAAGGGCGATGTTAATAGATGAGCCGATTATTTTTTTAAATTAATAAATATTTACTTCTTTTAGCGGATCTCCCCACCCGTTAGCCAACATCTTTCTCTGACGGGAGGTCCGGCTATCAGGCAAGCCTTGCTCTTAGGGAATGTTCCAGAAGAAGCGCTGGAAATTTGCATGTCTTCAATAACAAGTAACACCTTAAAACAGTCTAACTCAGGGCTTAAATAATGGTGGGAATTTTGTAGCGTTAAGAACTTAGATCCCTTCTCGGTTTCGGGTTCCAACGTTCTAATATTTTGACTCAACTCTTTAACGAAGGCGCATCTTTTAGCTCATTAAGTTCTTATAGAGCAGCCATAGCACAGATAGCGGGCCCAGACCTCTTACAAGATTTTCGTATGCAAAGGTTTTTTAAGGGAATATATATGTTGAGACCTAATAAGCCCAAGTCCGAAAATACCTGGGATCCTACGTACGTAGTACTTAATTATTTAAAAATAAAAAATAATTATGAGTTAACCTTGGAGGGGCTTACGCATAAATTAGTGACATTACTGGCCTTAGCATCGGGTCAACGTTTACAAACACTATCGCTTATTGATATAAGGGAAATTTTTCGGAAGTTAGGGGAAATACATATAAAAATTAGCGCAAGATTAAAAACATTCGGTAGAAATAAGCCGCAACCCTTTTTACGCTTACCTTATTTCAAGAAAGACGCTAATTTATGCGTAGCTAGCACGTTAGTAGAGTATCTAAAACGAACAGAGAGCATTAGAGGAAGTATAACTTCTGTTTTCGTAACAATCAAGAAACCGCATAAGAAAACATCCACTCAAACCTTGGGGAGCTGGATTAAAATTGTCCTAAATAAGAGTAGGATTGATACGGATCATTTTACCGCTCATAGTACACGGCATGCTGTAACTTCAGCAGCTGCCAGGAAAGGGTTAAATTTTGATACCATCAGACTCGCTGCTGGTTGGTTAAAAATTCTAGAATGTTCGCTAGTGTTTACAATAGATCCTTGATGGATAATGAGAATAGTTTTGCTGAGAAATTAATCTTTATATATTTTCAATATAGAAATGGGAGAAAAGATTATGTTGTTGTTATTACTTTAAAAATCTACATTGTACTTATTTATGGAGACGAGACCTATATAATCACAAGATTAAACGAACTTACCTGAAGTGAAGTTCAATCTTGATTATATGAAGGTCTCGTCGAAATAAATAAGTTCCCTCCCACCCTCAACCTCAATTTACAACAACATAATAAGTATCTTTAAATTGACTAAATAAGAAATGATGCAAGGGCATATAATGAGGTAAGGGAGCAGAGAAGCGAGGGGCATGTTGAAATTTGTTTGTTTAGGCTTTAAAATGTGTGGTCGCCGCACGGAGAAAAGGGAACTACATTGTACTTATTTATTTCGACGAGACCTTCATATAATCAAGATTGAACTTCACTTCAGGTAAGTTCGTTTAATCTTGTGATTATAAAACAAAGTTATTACGGGAAAACACTCAATACAATCAAACTGTATTTAAAATAATGTCTTTTAACTCTTTATACGACAATATAAAGACAGTCAAACATTTGTCGATTATTGTAAATGCCGAATAGAATGCCCACATATGACATATATAACTGCAATTTTGTTTATATCTGTTTAATATTTAAACAGAATCGAATTTTTCAAACAGAAGTCCTCATTTACCCTTTGAACTTTTATTTGTAGGAAGCCGACTGTCTTTGTCACCCTGGATTACAAAGGCAAAAGGAAGACGGTATTTGCTCTGCCCGGCAACCCTGTATCCTGTTGCGTGACGTCACTGCTGTTCGTCATTCCCGCCCTGAAGCACTTGGAGGGCGATAAGTTATTCAAAGGGTGGCCCAATATCACTGTCATTTTGGTATGGCTAATCTTTTTAGGTCGATATTTAAAAAAAGCAACTGCTCTACCGGATGTTTTTCAAAAGGGGCTTGCCCTTTCAACTTTTTTATTTTTGGAGCTGATTTGAATTCGGAAAGAAGTGAAAAAATATTTGATTTATTCAATGTATTTGGATTCTTCTCGGTTGGATGTCGAATGTCGATCTCGGAATATTTATATCATTAGGTCGTCGCGTCGGATCAAAGTTGTTTAAAGAAAATTTAAATGTATTTATGTAGAATTGTTTGCTCATATTTGTACGATACCTACCTAATAGGGTTTTCGGAACCGGAGCTTGCTGTTTTTCGGAACCGGGGATTTCGGTACAGGGCCTCTTAGGAACCGGGATTACCCATTTTTTTTGGTACTTTCGGTACTGACTAATTTGTATTCAATGGTGGTGCAGTTCATCAATCAGAAAGCAAGGGATGGGTTTTCAAAGTAAAATTTATAAAAAAAAATTTAAAAAAGATTTTTAATGATAATAATTTAAAATTATTAAGTAATCAGTCATTAAAAATATGAATTATTGAACACAAGTATAGAAAAAAGTATACCTAGGTAACTTAAATTTCACATCAAACAACATAAACCAACATTGACTGAATTTGAGACAAACGCTCTAAAATATATTGAATTAAAAATAGAAATATCTATTAAAACATAACATAATAAATATTATAGGAACTTCAAAAGAGAAAAGAAGCAAGAACAATAAGAAATAGCATCATTACTTATTTAGAAGAATTTGATTTCGACCGCTAGAAAGTATAAAAAGATTTTCTCACGTAACAAAAAATATTTTTTTAATTATTGTTATCGAGTCCCGGTTCTGTGATGGCCAAAAAGATCGAACTCTAACTGGTAGTATTAATTAGAGTTTCTAGAACCGTACTAAAATATTTTCGTTCAACGATTGTGGAGTTCGTCAATTAGCAAGCAAGGGATGGATCTCAAAAGTAAAACCGATAGAAACTTGAGTTTCAAATGAAAATAATATCAAATTATTAAGTCATGAGAAAGTAAACATGAACACAAGCGAAAAAAAAAAAGAAAACACGTAGGAGCTAAAAATTACATCAAAAAGCATCAACCAACCTCGAAACCAACTTAAATAAATTAAAAAAAAACTTAACATTTTCAATTAAAGATGCAAATACCTATAAAAACACAACACAAAAAATATAACTAATACATTCAGCAATATTATACTAAATAATAAAATAACTTATGTAGACTTAATAATAAAATAACTTATGTAGACTATTAGCAATAATATAATTGCTAATAAACTTTATAGAAACTTCCAAATAACTTCAGAAGTAAGAAAAGTAAGAGATAGCATCATTACTTGTTTAAAAGAATTTGATTTCGACCACTAGAAAGTATTAAAAGTCTTTCGCACGTAACAAAAAAATGTTTTTAGCTATTAGTCTCCTGAGTCCTGAGGGTGCCGAAAAAACCGAGAATTAATAATTTCGAGTCCCGGTTCTTTGATGTTTTAAAAGAACCCGGGATTTCCCGGTTCTAAACCCTAATACCCAACAGCACAGCTAACAGTAATCTACAATGAGTAAGTATTTTTTTGTCGAAATTTAAAAATTTTACACAATGTGGATAACGTAAGAGATGGTAACATTGCATTCTCTCAAGAAACTCAAAAGTTTTTCAATATTTTTCGGATTTTTTTTTTGATATTTTGAAAATAAAATTTTCAACATTTTTTTTTGCAAAAAAACTTCATGGTCGTGATTCTGGGATCGAACTACTATACTACCAGTTAAAATACTTGCACTAATTTCTGGGACACTCTGTATACAGGGTTATGCTATTTTATCGATACGGAGTATTGTACCCAATTGATTGATGTCAATAATGTCAATATTCCGTGGTTTGTATATTGGGACATTGATATTGATAAATGAGGTCTAAATTATAAGAAAATACATTTTCTGCGAAAACTTGAAGGAATAGGTAAAAAATAGTATAATACAATTTTCTGATTCTCATAAAATATACAGGGTGTTTCATTTAAATTAAACAAGTTATTCCCGTTTAAAGCTAGTAATTATTTAAAATAAATTCTTAGACACTCTGTACATGGTAGTATTATTTTTATTATTGCAACACAAAATATGGTAAATAGATAAATTTCAATACCCAAAATGTACCCAACAAGTACAATATTTGGTTTTAAAAACTAAAATACGCCTAGAGCAATGAAGCATTAAAATTACTGTTACTGTATTTTCACAAAATCGTAAATATTTCAAAAGCAGTAAGATTGAAGTGCGGTAAACCTTAATCAAATTTATCTTTATTTTGATCGTAGAAACTAAAAATGTAATAATATACAAATTGTTCCATTTAAAAAAAAATACAACTTGGATATTTTTTATTTATTTGGAACACTCTGTACCTTATAAAAATGATTAATTATAAATTGTAGCTTTAGTAGTCCTCCAAATATCCCATCATTCATAATTTCTGAAAATCTAGTCGTGTAGCTGCATACTCCGTGTCGAATGAGGGGAATAACTCTGTAGAAATAAGAAAATTTTTAAAATATTTCTTTTCAATATCGGAAATACCCAACTTTTCAATATAATTTATTGATTAAATAAATGTTACATTATTTTATTTATATTCTACAGGAAGATGACATAATAAACAACGACGCCAGACCCGAATACGTGCGACTGACAGTGTGGAAAGGAGTTAATGGCCAATTTTTATCCAGGTCTACTGGCAATCAAATCAGCAGCAGGCTTAACAGCATGGTGAACGCTAACGCATTACTGCTCGTCCCTGGCAAAACGAAATATAATAAAGCCTCATCTCGGTTCGCTTTGCTTTTTGGAGATCTGTTTTAGTACAGTCAATCTGGCACTTTAACTCCATTCAAATTACCTTCGCTCTCATACTTTGCCAGTCGTAAGTGGTCCTCTGGAAAGGCATAAATTCGAAAATTCATATCCCCGCACGCCATCGTTTTTGAGAAACTTAAAAAAAATTGGATCCGATTTTCTGCCTGAACCGTAGGTCCCACTGAAAATTGTGTGGAACAAAAAATGAAGAGAATTAAATTTTCTACCATTTCATTTCTAAGTAACAGACCTCTAAAACCTACGGGGACAAAGTTATAGGGTGCCAAAGTCACCCAAACGCAGTTTTTTGCATTTTTTCGGGTGAAACCATTTTTTTACTGTCGCAAAGTTTTTAAAATTAACGAGCATAAAAAAACCTACCAAATTGATATGTAACTTTTTTACGTTTTACTGTTTACCAGATATAAAGGTGCGTCCACAATGCTCGCGCTCTTGCTTCTGATTGTGCTTGCGTTGCTTGCGCTTCCTGTTTGTCGTGTTTCTCAAGATCTTTCGGCACGCAAGCAATGGCGTTCACATTGTAATGTAGTGCTTGCGTTCGTACTATTCGGACATGGATGATAACGAAGTATTTTTAATAGCGGCTGCTAGTGCGATCATTATTGCAAAACGAAGGAGACAAAGAGAAAAAAAGGCGGTGTTGGATGTCTAATAATTTCAAAAACAAATCCCAGAACAGTGAAAGTAAACTTCTACACGATTTACAAACAGACAGAGTGTTTTTGAATAATTTTTATCGGCATGTCCGCTACTAATTTTGAAAGACTTATTAACTTAGTTGGCCCCCGTATAGGAAGAAAAAATACAACTTTTAAGAAGTGTATTCTGATTGAAGAAAGAGTTAAAGAAAGATTGGCCATAACATTAAAATTCCTTACAACTGAAGACTCACATATCAGCTTGGGTTTCCAAGCAAAGTATTTCAAAAATAGTACCGGGCGTATGCCAATATATAAAGTTCTCAAATATCAGATTAAGATAAGTAGGCAATATAAATATAGAGTTATATTTAATTTTATTAAAGGTATATTTATATATATATTAATCAGTTTAAAACGTTCTACGTCTTCCGATGCCATCTCTCCATGACTGTCTGTCTCTCCATGCACCGTCTCCGAATGATCTTTCCTCCATAAACGTGTCAATCCCTTCCTGCCAACTTCTTCTCGGTCTACCCGGTTTTCTTCTTCCTGCAGGTTTCCAGTTTATAATTTGCTTTGGGCTTCTTATTTCTGCCATTCTTTAGACATGCCCGTACCATATGAGTTGACTGTTCTTTATCTCGTCCACTATCGTATGTTTAACTTTCATAATCTCTCTTATGCGTTCATTAGTTATTCGCTCGAGTCGTGATTTGCCTGCTGATCTTCTCCAAAAATCCATCTCTGTAGCTTCCAGCATTCGTTTTGTTGTTTCCTTAATTGGCCACACTTCACAGCTGTACGTGGTTATACTCTTGATGATGGTATTTATTAGAGTTTTGTTCTTGTTGTTTATGGTTCTGTCCCACAGTATCCCATTCAATACCGTGATAGCATTCCTTCCAAGTTGGTTTCGTTCTTTAATTGCTGTATCCAACAGTCCATCATTTGTGATTTGCATACCCAAATATTTGTATTTTGTGCAGCACTTAATTTTCTTCCCGTCTTCTAGTATTAGATCTTGTTGTTCTCCTCCGATACACATATATTCTGTTTTGTTAGTATTGGTCTCGAGTCCCCATTTCTGATATTCTTCTAAAAGCTTACGTGTCATATAATTTATGTCATCGTAATCTTGTGCTATGATTACCTGATCGTCCGCGAAGCAAAGTGTGTAGAGCATGTTATCCCCTATGGGTACTCCCATATTTCTACATTTTTGCTTCCAACCTTTGAGAACTTGTTCGAGATATATCTTGAACAGTGTTGGTGAAATACAGCACCCTTGTTTCAGACCTTTAGTTCCATTAAATCCTGTTGTTAATTTTTTGCCGACTTTTATTCTAGTTTTTGTTTGTTTATATAATGATTTTACTGCTTTTATTAGCTCTACATTTATATTGGTTTTTTCCATAGCTTCCCAAAGTCTCACACGGGGAACGCTGTCGTATGCCTTCTGCAGGTCCACGAACACAAGATGTAGTTCTTGGTTTAGATAAACGTATATACCTTTTAAAGGTATATTTACTATTATTAATTCAAGAACAAAACACACAACCTAACTATTTTTAATTCTGAGCAAAAAAAAATAAGAAAAATCATGGCAGCATTATCATACTGCAGTAAATACCGAATCTTATCAATAAAACCAAACTAAAAACTAAACAAACAACGCAAACAGCTCGAGCGCTTCGAGCGCTTTTCCAGTGGACCACGACTGGCAAAGTATGAGAGCAGGGGTAATTTGATGGGAGTCTAGACCTTTTTTGATTCCAGATCGACTGTACTATTTTTGTATTATATCATTTTGTTCATGTAGCTACTTTGCTTTATTTTCTTCGTATTTTTTTAGGCGAAGCTTTTGTCAGAATAGTATATTGCTTTATTAGGAGTAAAAATGATACTTTTTGTGGCGAGGCTGTACGTTTGACGACGTGTCCGGCATTACAGGTGAGGTACAAAAGTCATTTATACTCCGAATAGAAAATGCTATTTTTTATATGAGATTTTATTTAATATATGAGATTTTTTCTAAACTATAGGTTGTTGAATTTGGCACTTTATGTCAATTTAATAATATATTTTCGCACTTTTATACCTAGCTGTTAAGCTGTTAAAATAACTTTTTTATATTGTCAATCACGTCGCAAAAATTAAGACTTTTGTGACGTTTGAAAAAAAATATGCCCTTCTACGTTTTATTGTCCATCAGATCTTTCCATATTATTAGTTCTTAATTTTATTATATAATAATTTTTTTTTTCGTTCAAAATAATTTTTCTGCTTAATCTTCTTTAATTTGTTTAGTGAGGTTTTTTTAGTAGAAATTTTAGTGTTTTTGTGTATAAAATATAATTTTCATATATGATTTTCATGATATACCTAGACTTTTTGTTTATATTAATCATTATTTTATTACTACTTGTAGTAATAATTAAATATTGCTGTTTTTAGAATAAAAAATTTATTTTTTTAAATACATATTTCTTTTAACAATGCCTTTACGAATCGTTCAAAAGAAAAATTAATCTCAAAAGGAAATCACAAGATATTAACCACAAGCTAATCTTCCACTGAATTAGATTTTTAATTCAACATTAGATTCTAGTCTAGATTAAAAAATGTTAAATGTTGAGATAATGTCTCATTTTTGGCATATGTAAAAAAAAGTAGTTGCAGAAAGATCATTTTATGTCTTGCCAAATTTTAAACATCCTGTAAACTTTTCAAGAATTATAATCTAATTTATAAAAAGGGCAAAAAGTATATAAAGTATAAAAGTTTGATTGAAACATTCAAAACATTTTGTTTGAAATTATTTTTTTTTGTCTGGAAACTTTTTTGATTTTTTCTTTGTTAAACATTAATTTTTGATAAGTTTTTTTTTATGTTAAGTGAGGTTTATAGATTTATCCGATAAAAATCATCCTTGATCGTCATGCACAAGGAAGAATCTGTATAAGTTTTATCTTTCTTTTCTGATTATACTAAAACGTGGTTATTTTTTTATAAAATATAAAGTAATGGAGCCTTGGAAGTAGCAAAGTTGTTATACCTTGTTATACTGGAGCAGTTCGTTTTACAATATAAAAAGGTAATGTAGCTAAGCAAGTGTCTAGGCTAATGCTCTCATTTTTGATATCAATTTGTGATGCATTTTTCGATTGTGTGTAGTATTTAGATCATTAAAAATTCAAATAAAACACAATTTTTAAGAAAAAATAACATATATTAGTACAAATAGTAAATATCTGATAAAAAGAAATATATACATTCAGAACAATACCAATCAAATCTGAACTGGCCTGAAATTTTATACATCAATATATACAGAAGTAAATTACGTTTGTTTTTATGCCGTTCGTACATTATTTTAATATATAATTCAATTCATACATCATAAACTAAAATATGATCATAGTTTATAGACCAACCAGTCATAGATATACAGTAGAAATATTAAAAAAAGACTAGAAAAGCAAGAAACGTTCAAAAGAGGTTGCTTCAAATTTTAACTTTGTTTTACACGATAGCCTTTCATCAAACAAAAAAAACTATATCACCAGAATACACCAAAACACTTTCCTTTTAACATGTTAGCATCATCAGAACCGAGAAGAAAAACTAAACTGTTCTAAGTATTTTAGTTAATATTCGTCTTCTAGTTTGCCCAAGGTATTTTTGATTACAATGTTACATGAAATTACATAAATACCCGACCTTTCTAGTAGAGATGTTTTATCTTTGAGATTACCTAATAGTTGTTATAATTTAATATTAGCGCTATAATGTTCAACACTAAGTCGCATTAAGAATATATCTGTGTGCAATGATATACAGGGTGGTCCGAACTGTATTCCGGAAACTTCGGCAGCATATTCTGCAGATAAAAATAAGTAAAAAAGTTCGTATGAATGTATATCCTAAAATGCTTAGTTTCGGAGATACAGGGTGTAGAAGATTCATTTTTATTTCGAATTTTTCCAAATAGTTTATGAAGTAACGTCAATATTGTGTCTGGGAGTTTTTTGACATGAGAAATTTGTTTTTGATGTCAATATGACTCCTATTTATAGGGGGCGCCACTTATATGTGTTTTAACTGTTTTGAAGATTAGTAACTTTTTGTCCGTAAGGTACCTGTCTAAAACTACTCACTAAAAAAATATGCATTTACGATGTTTTTTACGTAAAAAAGGTCTCTTGGTAAAAATCGCTACAAGTGATATTTCTCGAGATATTTGGAATCGAAATTATCAATACCTGTCTTCATTGACATAATTAAACATGTTGACTAAATAGCTATTAGACTGAAATCATAAATTCGAGATGTTTTTGTGCGAAAAGTTTAACAGAAACTGTTTTATCATCATTTCTTCCTAAAAAAAATTATGATTAATTAAAAAAAATTCACAAATTTATTATTTCAGTCAAATAACTATCTACTCAACGTGTACCTCTTATTTTTTGTCAATAATGACATGTATTGACAACTTCCATTCTAAATATCTTGAGAACGGTTGCTCGTAGTGATTTTTACCAAGATACATTTATTACGTAAAAAGTTACGAAAATGTATATTTTTTCACTCAGTAGTTTTATACAGGTACGGACAAAAAGTTATTACTCTTCAAAACAGTTAAAATACATGTAGGTGGCGCCCCCTACAATTAGCAGTCATATTGACATCAAAATCAAATTTCTCATGTCAAAAAACGCCCAGACACCGATTTTCATCCAAATATTGACGTTACTTCAGACACTATTTGGAAAAAGTCGAAATAAAAATGCAACTTCTACACCCTGTATCTTCAAAACTAATCATTTTAGGACATACATTTATACGAACTTTTTTACTTATTTTTATCTGCAGAATATGCTGCTGAAGTTTCCGGAATACAGTTCGGACCACCCTGTATAGATATCAAATTTCAGGCACAATTATTAGTATTTATATCAATATCTAATACATTTCAGACATTTTATAGCTTAAAAGGTTAAAAAAATATTAAATTTTACAACTATAATTTTTCACATTTTGTTGCCTCTTCTGACCTTTTTTAAAATACCTCTACAGCATTCCGTTTGATGTGGTAAAGTTTAAGTTAACAACAACAATATTATATAAGTCTCCAGAGATTAAGTTGTCTGGACCACTTGTATTTGTACTCTAAAGTATAATTGGTCTTGGGCACTGCGCTCGTTAAAGCTACGTCAACAATTTCCAGAGCTCTAGGGGATAGCACCAAAGGTTGAAACTCTGTCCCGTTATTGATGTCCACGGATGTCTCCTCTTGATTCGTATTCCTATAAAAGCAAAAAAAATGTTTTATGTATTTTATTTATGTCGATAAAGTAGATGGGAAAACATAACTATTGCATTTTAGTGCAAACAAATACGCGTATACATTTTATTTAAATCGAATTTTTAACTACTCCACTTATATATCTATATAAATATACAGTGTGGATTGACTCCCAAAGAGGGAAAACTGTTTTATTCGTGGGTTTATGAAAAAAAGTTATTCTTCATAAAAACTCCTGCTTGAGCTTAAACGACCAACAGGTATATTATTTTTACAAATGTATATACCGAGTGTTAAAAATTTTAAAAAATATGGAAAACGCTTAGAACAAATAAGTACTTGTATATGTAAAAATACGATGAAAAGTTATTAATAAAAGTTCTAGGGGTTGAAAAACTACACCACGTTACCAAATTTTATCTCAATACCTAAATTTATAGGGATTGGTAAAAGATTCCTCTCCATATAAAATACCATTTACTCTGAATTTTTTTTTTTGGAATAACACCTGCTACAACTTGCCTTTACAACCATCTATTATTTGTTTGCGCAACAATATTTTTTATTTTTCATTCGTTTTCTAAAAAAAATGTTTAATAATTAATCGTGTACGAGTTTTATTTTATAGCCTTCATTGGTTAATTTAAAAAGGGAAGTACATAATGAAATTGCGTAAAGGTAAACAAGAATTGAAAAGTTATTCAAAACAAATTAAGTAAATTTAGTGTAAATGGTATTTTATATGGAGAGGAATCTTTTACCAATCCCTGTACGTTTAGGTAGTGAGATAAAATGGTAACGTGGTGTAGTTTTTCAATCCCTAGAGCTTTTATTAATAACTTTTCATCGTATTTTTACATATACAAGTACTTTGTTCTTAGCGTTTTCCATGTTTTTTAAACTTTTTAACACTCGGTATATACATTTGTAAAAATAATATGCGTGTTGGTCGTTTAAGCTCAAGCAGGAGTTTTTATGAAGAATAACTTTTTTTCATAAACCCACGAATAAAAAAGTTTTTCCTCTTTGGGAGTCAATCCGTGGACACACTGTAGATATTTGAATGGAGCAGTTTAAAATTCGAGAAAAATAATTTGGATATAGATTTGTGGTGCCTGGAAACGTTCTATCCTACACTCATATGCAAAAAAAAAACGCAACGGAGAATTTTTTTATAAAATTTAAGGTGTTATATTTTTGTTATTCTTAGCCCTATTTTCATGATTTTTTAGCAAACTGTATATAATTATATCAACTTTAATTCGTAAACTAAGTTTTTTATAAACTTTAGTATTTGGCATATTATACAGGGTTAATCGAGGAATTGTTTTTTTACCTTAACTTTAAAACACCCTGTGCAATAATTTCGTAAAATATAATTTTACGGTCAGAACCATGTCTTCTGAGCATTTTGTTTTTTGGATCATGTCAATACATGCCTTAGTTAATTTTTGAGAGTGGATCGAACTTGCTACCAACAACTTGCAATCATTTCTTTTTGAAGTAATTTTTCAATATGACAAGGCCGCTTTGATGATTATTGTGAACTATATGGTACTATGAACTGACCATCTTGTTGGGAAATGCTTGGTAGGAGGATTAGAGGTCGCGAAGCGGTACCAGCTTCCTTAAATGAACTTTGTTAGGTTCTTAAAGAAGAATGAAAAAGCATGTCGCAATATGGTATATGCTGCCTCAATTATCAGCCAAGGGAAGCAATACAAAGTAGGGTATATTTTACAATTTTTTTTTTCGGTTTGTTTTTGTAGTCTTTAACGTTTTTTTTTAAATTTTAATATAGAATATCCAAAGCAGCGTAATACGACGTTACGACAGTAATTTGTAATCCATCTCGTCATATTAAAAAATTACATCAAAAAGTAATGATAATTGAAAAAATTGCAAATTGATCGTGATCAGTTCATTTCGCTCTTAAAAATTAACCAAAGCATGTACATGATCCAAAAAACAAAATGCTCCGGAGACATGGTTCTGACCGTAAAATTATATTTTAGGAAAATTTACACACGAAATTATTGCACAGGGTGTGTTAAAGTTAAGGTAAAAAATCAATCCCCAGATTAACCCTGTATAATATGCCAAATACTAAAGTTTATAAAAAACTTAGTTTACGAATTAAAGTTGACATAATAATATACGGTTTGCTAAAAAAATCATGAAAATAGGGCTAAAAATAATAAACATATAACACTTTAAATTTGACAAAAAATTTCTCCGTTGCGTTTTTTTTGCACCTGAGTGTATTTTAATCTTTCTAAAATTAATGTTAATTTTTGACAAGTTTTATGTCAATTTTTAGTGAATGACGTCTAGAGGTTGACCTCGCCAAAATTATCATCGATTGTCATTCCCTAGCCGTCTTTGAGGTCGTTTTTTTTTTCAATCATACGGTATTTTGTCAATTACTATCGAAAATTAAGTAGGATAAACATTTCCTAAAAAAAGACTACACAGATTTATAAAAAAATGCATCAGTGCTGAAAAATGTAAAATTGCCTTCTACTCTGTATAAAAATGATTTACTCACTTGGCCAATTTTGGTTGACAGAACAGTAACTCTGGTAATATTCCAACTGGATTGATGGTCACTACTTTGATGCCCAAGGGAGACAGTTCTTGTCTTAGAGCATAGCTGGCACCTTCAACTGCGTATCTAAAAAACAAAAATTGTAACAAAATTGAAAAAGTCATTGATGTCTTGAGATTTTGATATGAAACATGCCATCAGAAGTCCTAAGTAGGGGAATATTGCCTATACCGTACTGGCTCCTAGGTCGTACCTTTTCAATATCTGATTTATAATTGCATTGGCGAGAGACTTTATGGTAGTCTTAGTAAGCTTAATAATATATATCCATTTACATAATGATCGATAAAAAAACTAAATCAAATATGGTTTACCTGCTGGCAGCATAAGCAACTAGTCCTTCTCCCATATTATCCGTGGTTCCAATGGTCACGATTCTGCCATTTGAGTTTTTCAGTAGGTTCTGGAATGTTCTAGCCGTGCGCAGAACACCTACGATGTTGGTCTTGAGAATGGTATCCCAGTGACCTATATCTTGTTGAGCCAATGGTCCTCGATAGGTGAGACCGTTTGTACAAATAACAGCCCATACTCCTGAGAAAAAAAAATAGAGTTAAAAATAATTAATTTTTGAAAGTTTTATAATGAAATATATAGTATGATTTTTAAAGAACAGCTAAATAACCTAACCTAACACCTTATAAATTTTATTTCATTTTTTGACGAAGAGACGTTCGTTTTCATAACTTATTATTATATTGATTTCTGAGCCAAATTCACATTTATTTCAAATGAATATACTTTATTAATTAAAACAATTTAAAAGTATGTAATTAACTAATTTTTGGTTGGAAATAATACCACCATTATTTCGGACCAAAAATTAGTTAATTACATACTTTTAAAGGTATTAAATTGGTATACTCTTTTACAAAGATTTATATAGTTCTTTTGTATACCAATGGACTTGCAATATTTACCACCTGTACATTTTGTACATAGGTATATGTTGCTTTAAAAAATCTGAAATGTCAATATTCCACAGGTATAGTGATAAATGAGGTCTAAATTATAAGAAAATGCATTTTCTACGAAAACTTGAAGAGATACGTAAAAAATGGTATAATAAAATTTGATAGACAATTAAATTGTGCATATGATTCACGTAAAATATACAGGGTGTTAAATTTAAATTAAACAAGTTATTGCCGTTTAAACCTAGTAATTATTTAGTATAAATTTTTTGACACTCTCTATTAGATAAACAAGGGTATTAGGTAGTAAAATTTTTATTATTGCAACACAATATCTGATCAATAAATAATCTTCAGTAAATATTTAGTATTAAAAACTTTGATACCCTTCGAGAAATGAAGTCTTAAAATTTTTACTGCAATTTCATAAAATTGAAAATATTTCAAAAACGGTAAGGTTTAAATGTGATAAACCTAATAAAATTTACTTTTTTTTTCAATCGTATAATCCAAAAATAGAATAATATACAGGGTGTTCCATTAAAAAAAATACAACTATAATATTTTTTACTTATTTGGGACACTCTGTATCTTGTAAAAATATTTTTAAATTGTAGTTCTAATAGTCCTTCAGCGAACCCAAAAATACACTTAGTAAAAATCGAATCGTTTAGCTACAATACTCCGTGTTGTATGTGGTGAACAACCCTGTAGATTTAGGCCTCAATATTAGACTTGGAAAAGAAAACCAATACGCAGAAATTACAAGGCGTATACGATTAGCATGGATAGCATTCGGTAAACTGGAACATATTCTGAAAAACAACACGATCCCTATCAATCTGAAGCGAAAAGTATACAACACCTATATGAACGATGTATGCTAGGATAAAGACAGTTTTAGGACAGGCCTAGACAAACTAAAAGAAGTGTGGGACATCCACACAAACGTTGGCTGGACGACATTAGGGAAGTGGCAGGTAAACGGTGGTTAAATACAGCACAAAACAGGGAGACATGGAAAAGGACAGGAGAGACCTATATCTAGGAGTAGATGAATCCGGGTTGAGGAAGAGAAGAAAGAGAAGATATCCACAACTCACAGTTCACCCTCAAAAATTTTACGAATATTTCCGCACGGAGAAGGAAACTTTAAAGTATGTTTTCAACAAAATTCGTTGGTGGTGGTTAAAACTGGCTGAGGGTCGTACTATGGCCACGCGCATAAAGTTGTCCCTCTATTTTTCACCCCTAGTCTGTCGCGATAAAGCGAGAAGTGGGAAGCGGGTGCACAATGGACTTACTCAAAAGACGATGACGTCATATTTAATGAATTCCTTATCTACTTTTCTTGTATTTTCTAACAGCTCTCCAGATTCCTTTCACCCTTATAGTATTCTTTATAGTTAAAGAAATAACGAAGCTAACATTATTTTTGTTGTTCTTTTAGAGAGTGATATTTTCCAGAGGAATGATACCAAAGTGAATGTATTTCTTCTTTCCTTTTTTTAGAAATTCCAGAATTATTTTCATCCTTAAAGTAAAGCTAAATAAAACTTCTTCTTTTTCTTAAAGTACTGTAATGTTAAATTCATGTGGATATAGATTTTCTTTTACGCCTGGAAGTATAATATGTTTTAACGATATAAGTTAGAAAACGTGATTATGTCGTAAAGCGATTAGATAGTACGAACTAGGGCAACTTTGGAATCCAATTGGTGTAACAGTCTGGAAACCTGATAGTTAATTTTGTTCCTAATATCCTTCCAAATTGATATATTATTTTAAATAGAGTTAGTCAATAGAACGAACAGAAAGATAATATCGTTGATTGAAGAAATAAGAACATGCGCAACCTTATGGGCGATTTCGTGGCACAAAACCTGTCCGACATGTAGCTGGCGTTACCAGAACCATCAGCCTGTCCGAGAATTCCGAGATTTAGTTTAACTCTGCGCCGCTGCGCGCTGATTTTCGTTTACGGTGCAGCGGATAAAGAATACTGTACCGCAGTTCTGCTTTCAGTCGACAGAGTGGTTGCCGGAGACAGTGTTGCCAAAACTACTGATTAATCCGTAGATTTACGGATTTTGGGTACATTACGTTAATATCCATGTATGATATACTAAGGGCTGGCATAGGTTAGTCTTGGGTCGAGATTTCCGTATGTAAGAAGAGTACAATGCGTTTTATAATGTACCGAACAAAGAGAGAACGGTAAACACGTTGCCAAACGCATGAAATAAGTCGAGAAACTGTGCACATATTGCCAAGAGACGTGGAAGAGGATATAGCAGATTTGTAACAGTCGAGCGGCCGACCCAATCAGTACCTCTGTCAGTACTTAAAGTTCTAGGGAAAGATGTACATCATGCGTTCAGCTTCACGATTTAATTACGTCTCGTGATACTTTATTTGTTTATTTATTAACGAGTCTTGCATTTTTGATAATAATAAGTGGAATTGTGTTGGTGTTCGACAGTGGTCGCGCTATGAGAACCCTGAATTCAAAAATCGATATCTCCAAATCTATTAGAAATAAATTGATTGTAGTTTTTCAAAAACTTTCTCAATATTCCTGCTATATTTTCTTCGCAGACAATATCTGAAAATCTTTATAAATAAAAAAGTTACACGAATGCTGAAAATTGCTATACACTAAAAGTAAATGGATGGGTTGTAAAATTTTTGAATGGACAGAACAACCTTATCTAATTTTTCTTATTTAAAAATATTGTAAAAGATCCAATCTTCAAAATAAAAAAAAGTTTCAATATCTAAAGTCATTCTTAAGTTATGGCGTCTTGTGTTAAAAAGTTAAGTTTTTAAATTATCGCGATTACTGACGTTTTCTCGTTATAAAAAAATGTACACCCTAACGATATCCTTATAACTCCATTTCAGATGCTCAGAAACATATCTAATGATTTTATCTAGTTATCTTCTCGAAAAAAAAGTTTAAAAATAAGCGGTGTGCGATCGTGATTTTACTTTACTTGATAGGGAAAGGCGTACCGGCAACGCCGCAACAGCACACCGTCGCATTTCCCTCACTCCGACTTAATAAGATCCCTATGTGATTTACTTCCACACATGTAAATACCGACCCAATAACAGTTGCCGAGCACGGTACCTATATGATCTATCCATATGTGATATTTAGGAAGTGAAAGAAGAAACTTTAAGAGGGATTAGAAAAATGGCGATAGATACGGAATTGAATAAAAAGTGTTTTAAGCTGATCGATTGTATTATCTCCAGAAAATTATTTAAAAATTAGGTCCATAATATATAAGATAGAAGAACAAAATTTCTATGAGAAAAAAAGAATAAAAAGTTGAAACGCAATTATTAACTTTTATAAGTAGCTAAAACCCCTTTTAAGCTCATATTGCATTAAAAGTTTACCCCTTTATCGGAAACCTTTAATTTTATCAGGGTGTCATTTATAATATGCTATTAACACATGCCAAATATAAAAGAGCTCGGTAAAGTTAGCCATAAAGACCATAAATTAATTAATAATAAATTAACTTAGTCACGGTTCTTGAATAATCCATACAAATTTGGAAAATATTCTCATTAAAATTCGATAAAATTTTCATAAACCAAAACTTATATGAAAAATATTTATTCTGTTTAGTGCTCAATATGACCTTACTTTTTAAGAACATAACGAATTATTGTATTCTCTCCAAAAAAGTCCTATGGGTATTTCGCCACTGTAAGAAAATTTACAAAATAAAATAGTTATATTTTGTAAACACTGCTGCGTTAATACAACGAAGACTAATTAGTCTCTTTTAGTAAATTTGTTTATTAGGACGCCACTCCTGACAATTGTCAGCAGTGGCTTATTCCTAATAAACAAATTTACATAACGGACAAAAAAATACAGATACGTCTACAATAACCGTTGGCGTTCTGTTAAAGTGACATTATATCAAGTTAAACTTCAAAATTAACAATTACTACCTGATAACAATTACTTCATAAGGTAAAACCAAAAAGCTTCGAACTTTCTCTATGATTATTTTTATATGTATGTTATGTTTATTTATGTTATGTTCTTTAAAATCAAAGAAGCGATTGCCATACATTACTAACATCTACAGATACATGAGCAATACGTTTATTATTATTAGATTGTATTAAAAAAGCCTCTTTTTGATTTTTCTTTTAGAGCAGCCTATCGCTTCTTTCATTATAATTATTGCATTGTTAAAATCTACTTTGAGCCCTGTGTCCCATGAATGCTGACAAATCTGAGATTTGTGAAAGTCGCTTTTTCCTAAATGTTTTCGTTATATAAATATACATACGTAGTTTAATTTATTTTTATTTATTTACTTTGTTAAAAATACTTTTTTCATAATAGTGTCTCAGTTTTTTATTAGCCAGACGCTTTGTAGAAAACAGGACCATTTTAAAAGTCAAATTAGCACGAGATTGGGTGAACAACATGCGCAGTTTTTTATTACGGAAATGAGGAAGCCTTCTTATAATGTTAGGAAAAAAATCGTTTTAGGGAAAAAATATTTTCCTTCTTGAGGCGACCAATTTGACACAAGATAAATATAATTTTCAGCCATCTGGGTTAAATGCCTTGGAAATATTAAT